TTCTTGACGCATCCCACAGAGTACAAGAACCATCCCAGATCAGCGTTATTTGCACCAAGTCCTGCACTTTGCATTCATGAGCACAAGCTCTATTTCCCCAAAAAATCTCAGAATTGGAATGCAACCCACACAATATCTGGCATTTCCTCAGATATTCCTGGGAATACTCCCCAGAGTAATTCTGCCCAAACACTATAGTAAAATGGACTGTTCAAACTCCCCTGCTGCACTGCCAAATCTCTTACCTTGCCACCTCCAAAGGTGCGGTCATAGCATCCAATGATACAATTAGCTAGAAGGAGGGCAATATTGTCAGGACTAGCCCATCCAGGGCCCTCCACTGCAAAAGCTACGTGAGCCAGGGAAACATCATCATCTCTGACACGGACCTGCAAGGGATCAGGGGATCCAGATTAGGATAAGCAAGGACTTCCCTGCAGTCTGATGTGAAGCATGGCTTCTAAGTTAAGGGACAAGACACCACAGGTTCAAGTCTCCGTTAGGAGGCTGATGCAAGTGACAGCCTCCATTTTTAATGAATCGTGGTCACATCTAAAATCACCATATTTGGCCAGCCCAGCATATTGCAGCCCCACACTGAGGTGCCACCTGCTCATACAACAGCTACAGAGGCCAATTTTGCAAGTGTGTACTTTGGGCTGAGCCACGAAGAACTTACGTCACTCCCTGTGAAGCGGCAAGGTGATAGGATAGGGACTACATCCTCCTTGTATTCATAGGTAATTCCACTTAAATGCTGCCTAGCAAGGTCTACCAGCTCTGTGTGAGAAACACCTGGCAAGCAGAAGAGACAGAATAAGAGATCCATAAAGCTGCACAGCCCTCCAAATTAAGGGGAAAAATACACTGCTTTTATGTGCTTTATAAGCAACCCAGAGCCCCATACCGCAGCAAAAGCTTAGCACTGGCAGTACCACGGCTCCTTAGAAGAACAGGAAATGGGGACTTACCTCCAGCAGCTGCCAGGACCATGCGAGGAGCCTTATAGTGAGTGTCAATGTAGCTAGTTAGATCTGCACGAGTCAGAGACCTAAAGAACACACAAAATTTTCATATTCCAGCAGCCCAGGGGATAGGGATGATGGAGGATGAGGGGTGGGGGCAATCAAGCAAACTCCCCCCCAACTTTCTTGGTTATAGAACAATCCTTTCCAGAAATCTGTTTGCACTGACTAATCTTCTCTCATGCCATAACCCTTAGGACCAGAATGGGATGCTGAACTAAAAAGCTAGACGGTAAACATCAAATGTAGACCAGATCAGTGTCAGAAGTCACTCACAGATGGCTTCTTAGTACCCTGTGTGAAGAAAAATGGAAGTCTCCATCCATTCATCCAGTGGCTGACAACCTTTATGAGTCACAAGACAGAACCCAACCCTGGTTTGGTGTGGGCCAGGTGGCTTCAGCAGTGTGCCCGCAGCAGGGATAGGGGTTGCTTCTGCCTGTGCTGAGGCCAGGCAACCGGGAGCTGCATCTGTGCCTCCACTGCTTCTCCTAGCCCCCAGCTCAGGCACAAGTGCAGCTTCTAGCTATTGGGAAACGGAGGGAGGGCTAGGAAACAGGAAGCTGCATCTGTGCTCCTTCTGCTTCCCCTTCTCCCTGCCTTCCCTCCTCCACTCCACCCCTCCCAGCTGCAGCACAGGTGCCACTGGAAGCTGGACAGCCCCAGCTCAGATCCCCATGAGCCCACAGTGTGGCTGTACTGAAGCTGGGGAAGAGGAACAGCAGCAAAACAGATGCAGGACCTCACTGCCCAGCCCCAGCATGGATCTGGCTCACGGGCTGTATGTTATTGACCCCTGTACTTGCTAATTGTTAAGTGCCAGTTCAGGGTCACTACTAGAGAGACCAAATTAAATGAGCATGGAACACACTCCTCTCTTAGCAGGCTTCCATCTCACTGGGGCCTAATGCACAGTGTTGGGAATACTCAAGAAGCTTGTGTCACACTGTTTGTGCCAAGCCTACCTTTAGGCTACAAGGTGTCAGCTGCCAGTACCTGAAAGTCCAGCTTTTGCAGGCAGCGGGAAGCATGGGCTCAAGTTAAAACACATCCATGATGAAGATATCAGTTAAGTGCACAGCACTGTCCACCTTGGACAAAAGGCACAGGGAGGCTCCCTTGTATACAGGTCTGTCATAGGCACACTGTTGCCAATAAAGATCTTTTTATTCTCTCAGTACACAGCTCCATGTAGCTGATGTTGTACACTTCCTCTCTCATTTAGTTCAGTGATATACACCCAAAAGGAACTGCTTAGCCTCCCAACTTCAGTCCAACAGTGGAAAAAACAAACAAACAACTGCTTCAAGGCGTATATTGCACCCCAACCCGAAACTGTTTGCACGTGTTGCTCACTTTATGTTCTCGGTGGTCCCCTCAACAGTGCGAGCCAATGGAGTCCCTTGGTAAGCAGTGGCATGAAGGTAATCAAACACAACATCTGTCAAGTTGGTGTCAATTTCCTGCATCTCCTGAAGGATGGTGTTTCGCTCCTTCTCTATCTGCGAAGCCTCCAAACCACAGTTCTGCACAACATCCGCCAGAATCTCAACAGCTGCAACAGGCACATACACAAAAGGATCAATGTTAGCAATCCCTTAACCTGGCCACAACATAATGCAACAGAAATCAGGACAGGAAACTGAGGACAGCTCAGAATTTGAAGGAAGAAGTGGCACATAAGAATGTTCTAATGGGACCCTGGGGCCCAGGAAGGTAGAGAGACTGGAAAACAGCAGTGGGAGAAGGTCAGTGGGACACAAAGGGCTTGTGCAGTATCTAGTTACATAGGGCCAAGTCTTTGTCTACTGTCTTCAAGACAAACTGTAATATTTTCAACTCATAGACTTTGCCACATTGCAAGTCACTCTCAAAGTCTGGTGCAACATACTGCGTCTGCCAAGCAGGGACAAGAAGAGCACCACAGCCTGGTGAGTGCACTTGCAGGATGGGTGGGGTAGGGAGGCACATATTAAAGGCAAGGTGTATTGGCAGTAATATGGATAGCACTTGTAGAGTTCATTACAACGATATTTGGTTACAGTCAGGGCTATGGATTCTCGCACTAGTAGGAAAAAGCAAACCTAAGTCTGTTCATGAAAGCACAGAGCTTAAAGCTACATTGCAAACAGAACCCAGAAGAGCTGTATTGTACATTTCTGACTCAAAGTATTAATGGCTCAACAGTACTCATCTTCCCAATTCCACAATATTGCAAAGGACAACTGACATCCTTCCACTGGCATTATTAATACCCAATACTGAATGGCAGGAGAACAGATTACAAAGGATAATTGCAGGAGAAAACGAAGCTGAAGACTAGGGGCACCATTAGGTGGGTATGCACTTTCCAATGACCTATAAGAATGTGTATATGTGCCCAGACCACCTAACCACTATCTGAATTGCAGCTGTACCCACAGGCTTTTTAGAGAAATGCAGAAGAGAACATTTTCTTTGACCTCAGGCTTTAAGTCAGAGTGAACAGTCCCACAGTAACACCACCTTTGGGTAGGTCCTTGGATAAAGCTTTTATGAAGTAGGCTGTCTGCTCCCGAGAGGTGTACCCATTGAGGTGGGCTCCTATGCTTTCCACTTCTTTTTCAAAGGTGGCACAAGGACGTTTCTTTGTGCCCTAAAAAGCAAACAAAAAAAACCAGATACATGCAATGAAAACTAGCTAGATTTTGCAACATCTGTTGGCAAACTAAACACTACATCAATAGCATTCATGCGGTTAAGTTCCCAGTTTTTAAAAGGAACTAGAGCACTAACCTATCACAGGACTGCTCACCAGTTGAACTATTTCTAGTAAAAGGTAGGGAAGTAGGAATACCACTGTACTAGACAGTGCAGTGACCTCAGGACCACTGCATACAGTTCTAGTCACTCAGGTGCAAGAAAAGTGAATTCAAACTGGACTGGGGCAGAGAGATTACTAGGTTGATCATGGGAATGGAGACTTTATAACAGGCTTGTTTGGTCTTGCAAAACAAAAGCCAGAGAATAACTGCTGTCTATTAGTTGGGAAAGAGATACGTACATTGGAGGACAATGTTGACACAAGGCAGCATGGGTATGAACTGGCCATAAATTTATGCTGGAAATTAGAAGGTTTCTAGCCACAGCAAGGATGCTCTGGAATAGTCTTCTGACAGGTCACAGGGGCAAAATACCATCTAGACTGAGATGGAGTTTGACAGGTTATCAAAGGGATTATACAATGGAGTTACCTGCAATGGTAGGAGACATAACTAGATAATCCAGGAGATCCTTTCCAGTCCTGTGCTCGTACTACTCAGCAGATGCATCTGCATTACAGCAAGTGTTGTTCTAAAGAGGCAGCCTTCTGCTGAAAGGCTAGAAACTCACAGCCATACATGGCTGTTCTTTTAACAGCCTTGTTCTTTTCATGTTGGATAAGTATAAATACATATTTTCATGCAGGTTTCTCTTGTGTAATTAAATGTTGAGATCAGAAGCAAGTCTCCAGCCCCTCAAGTTCTCAAATGCTAAGCAGTGCTTCCTTTGTCCTGAATTACATATCAGAGTAAACCACAGAATCTTTTTAGCCATCTTTATGTCCATAAAAAGATAAAGGGACTGGTATCTCAGTCAAACAAATATGTTCTCTTAAAAGATGAAGAGACTTTTGTTGAAGTAGGCTAAATCAGTGCCATTCAAAATATTCTGGAATTCCCAGAGCAGTTCTTCTGTGCAACTGTCAGGGTGGAGTCCCTACCTACATTTACTGGAGTCCCTAAATGTCATGGCAATGACTAGGAGCTCGAATCTCAAAGATAACTGTACAACCCCACAACCAACATGTGAAACACTCTGGCAAGTTATGCACATGAATCCCACAAGCAATGACAAAAGCCATTGGTCTAAACTCTGCCCTTGCAAAGAATCAAGTCAGTACAAAGACTTCAAAACACTTTATCTGCAAATATGCGCTAACGTGGGATCGCCTCAACTTTTACTTTTCTTCCGAATACCTAGGGTAGTTTGTTTTCATATACATTACAACAGAGCCAGAGACCTGAATCAAGGTTGGGATGCCATCATACTAAGTTCTCTATAGAGCCCTTTCCTGTTCACACAACCAAAGGTTGTGTAAGACAGCAAGAGAACAAAGATATGTGCGCATATTCTGGTGCTCAGAAACTGTAGATCAGGGGTTTTCAGCCTTCTGGTGGCGGCGGCCAGACATGGAGCAGGGGGCTTTCACACAGCAGCCGCTACTACCATCCACCCCGCTGCGCCGCCACCACCACCCACTGCCCTGCTTTCACACAGCTGGTTGCATGTGTGGCTCTGAAGACTGCTGACGGGCCTCGCACCCGGCCAATTGTGTGCTGCCTGTCAACAGCCCGCAGAGCCGTGTGTGCAACCGGCTGTGGGAAAGCGGTGTTTGGCAGCAGTGCAGGGTGGTGGATGGCAGTGGTAGCCACCACATGAGAGCCCCCACCACCACAGCAGGCACCTGTGCAGCCCACAGAGGGGCACCACTGCCCTCGTCCCTCCCCCAGTCCCACTCCTGGGAGGCAGCAGCATGGGGTGATGGTTGGCAGTGCTCTGTCCCCACCTGGCTGCATGCACCCCTAGGACTTTTCCACATACCCCTAGGGGTACGCACACCCCCGGTTGACAACCCCTGCTGTAGATAGAAAAATCCAGTTCCTTATCACAGTCTTGACCCACTGAAACATGAGACAACAAAGTGAATAAAGAGAAAGAAAAAAAAAAAATCAAGAGTTGTGGGGCTCCAAAAAACCCAGTGTTATATATAAGTAGCTGTCTTACACCAAGTCCCATGGCAGTTCCCAGCTCCAGTTACAATCTCACCTTGAATGCCAGATGTTCCACAAAGTAGCCTGCTCCATTGTTCTTTTCATTTTCATAGCGGCTCCCTACCTGGATCCACAAGCCCACCTGAGAAGAGAGATGCTCCAAGTAAATACGCTAAAGGAAATAACGCAAGCAAAAATTCATAAGCTTCCTACTTTTTTTTTATTTTTTTTTTTGTTTTGGGGGGGGGGGGGTCACATATGCACACCCACTGGCAAGAGCATAACATAAGCATATAAAGGTCTCTATCTGTGGCCCCAACCTTCAGTGTTTTATGAGAAACAATGCTGAGCAAGTACCGTCAGATGTGGGTTTTCTGAAAAATTTTAAATTGGAAAATTTTCCAATGCTCTAAATAGAGAATGATCTGATTCAGCATGTTTAGTTGACTTATATTTAGTAAACAAAACTAAAATTAACACGGAGGTGCTTTTTTATGTCCCAATAGCCACAAGTACTTGAACAGAAATATTTGATTAGGAAAAAAATTAAATGCAGCACACTTAATGTGGTTTAAATGTTACATTCAAACAAATTCAAAGCTTTGATATGCAGTGGCTGTCCACTCATCTACTTCAACAAAACTTAACCTTCTTCCACCGAGGTCCTTGCAGCACCTCCAGTTTCACTGTCACTATCTGTGGAATCACTTGCACTACTTATTAGTTCCATTTTAGAATCAGATCAAGGCAAATCTGATTCAGAACTACCTGAACCATATTCTCTTTCGCTAAAGGATAGTTTTATCAATGAGTCTATGGGCAAGGGTAACTTATCATCACACTACATCTTCTTCACTAATTGTGCTTCTGTAGAATTGGACAGAAGCAAGCTTATTTCTGTTTCTCAAAATCTCTTAGCAGTGCATTCATTTGGTTTTGAGTTGACCTGCACTGCCAATTAGGTGAATTCATCCCTTGATTTTTGTTTTGGATTATTATGTGTGTATTTACCCTCCTGTTTACAAATCAATAAAACATATATGTTCTCTCTCACATGCTTCCTAGGGATAATCACCTGAAAAATATTAATTACAACTTTGAAACTCAAACTTGCCTAACATTTTACTGGCATCCATTAATTGTTACCAATGAATTTTATGAAACAATGAATTTTTAGAAATGGAAATTTCCCATGGAAAAATAAAGCACTGGAAAATTTTCAGCCTCACATCTCTGAGTACCATATTTGCAGGCAATGACATGCTTTGCTCTCCTAATCAGCCTCAGTTTTAGCTTCTTAATTTTCCAGAACTAAAAACAAGACCAGATGCTCTCATGGGCAACATTTCCTGTCACACATGGGGACAAATATTTTGCATCATAGGTTGAAAAGATTACTTTATTTATGGCATGCATCTAGTAACTTTGGATAATCTTCTCTCTCAATTTGTCCAAGTTGTATTCAACAATTAGCAGCTGTCCTGCTCATACAAAAACTGTCTTCATTCAAAGAGCAGTATGGATGAGCAATCTAAACAGAGCACAAAAGTATCACTGGAAGCATTTTAGACTCATTCCAAAGCAAAGCAATCAAAACCTTTTACTACTGATTCCATTGACCAGGTTGTGACCCTAACAGCTAACAAGACAGACTATATCTCTACCGAAAGAGGAAGTTACCTGTGTTAGTCTGAAGTCAGGCAAGGTAGACTTGCACCTTACAGACTAAATTTATAGTCTACCTCCTGCTAGATCTCTGCTGCCAATCTAGGTTCAGATAAAAGCTGCGCTCCTTTGGAAGTCGATAAACTTGGTACAGAACTGAGTCATCCTAAAATAAACCCCGATTCCCCCTTAAAAATTACCGTGCACGTAGGTTGGCCGGACTCCTCAGATGCCACACGGAGGCCATTGTCAAGAGTGGTGACCTGAGTCTCTGGAAGACTTTGGAGTACCTGGGCATAGGTAGCTGCACCACGATTCCTTGTCAAACTCAACAGGGCTGGCTAAAGAGAAAAACATGATCAAACTGCGACTCTCACAGCATAATATAGACACAATTGCGTGAAGATTCCCAAATACACAATAAACCCAGCCTAATCAGTTAATTAGAACACTGTTAGGTTCAGTCAAAGGTTTTCCTCCTAAGGTTATTCAAAGTCCATCACATCTCCTAACTAAGAATTCTGGGTGAAAAGCTTTTGTATGTTAATACAAGCAGGTCTTAACACATAAAACCAACAGACTCCCAGAAGCATATTCAAACCCTGCTCTTGCTGGACAAGGCTGACCCCTACATCATGAACCAAGAGCTGACTGGCCAATAGCAGAAACCCACAGCTGGCTCCAGGACAGCTCCAAACCTAACAAGTCCCTTTACTCATTTAGCACACGCCTACACTGCAGCGTCATGTGCAGCCGGTGGGGTGTTGCAGTGCAGAAGCACGCACCTTCCTGAAGGCTGGTTTACCCTCTTGCCAAGCTGATTTTCTACTAACAACTGAGTGCTAGGAGCTAAGTTCAAGAGATGACTGCCCCCATGGCTGCAAGGCACCAGAAACAGATCCACGCAGATGCAGCAGTAGGACTGGGATGGAAAGGACAGAAAGGTGCGGAGCAGAAGGAAGGAGCGCAACACCCCAGGAGGCCACGTGTTGGAAACGGTTGCTTCTTTAAGCAAGAAATGCCCACAGGTGTCCAGGCAGGCCACGTCTCTGGGCAGATGTGATATCTTTTACTAGACCACCTGAGTAGTTGTAAAGTTTTCTGCTAGCTTTTGCGCGCAATCACCCTTCTCCAGGATGCCTACCCAACTCCACAGGCAGGCAAACAGCAGGGCACGACGGGTCGGTACTGCGTGGGGAAGGTGCGGCTCTGCCCTTCACCAGGGTACTGCTGTAGCCCCTCTGCCCCTGCAGCCCGCCCGGCCATGCAAAGCGTTAACGCAGGCAGGCGCGGCGTCCCCCTTTTGACGTCACCGAGCTCTCTCCGAACATTCATCCTGCTCTGCCCACCCCCCCAGGATTTCCATGGCGACCGCCGCGGGCAGCGACCCCGTGACCTTCCCCCGGCGCGAGGGCCCAGGTGTTCCCCCTCGGACCCGCTCCCCGCCGCCAGGATCCGCTCCCGCCGCCCCAGGTCCCGGCCCCGTCCCGCGCGGGCGGCGCTCACCGAGGAGCGGGGCCCCCGCAGTAACGCTCGGCCCGCGGCACAGCCGGCCCGACACATAGAGGAGGCCGCCATCTTGTCCCTGCAGCGGCGGACGAGCTGGAGGGAACAGCGCATGCGCCGCAAGGTCATGGGCAGGGAAGCACGCATGCGCCAAAAGACGGGCGGCGCACGCACAAAGGGCGAGGCAAAGGGGTACGCATGCGCAGAGGGAGGTGCTGGAGGGGCGAGTGCGAGGTAGCCTAGGAGTGGGTTGGGGTGGGCGCGTGCGCGCTCCCTGCTGGTGGGAGGTGTCACAGGCAGGGCTGCAGGGGGTGGTTGAGCAGGGCCGGGCCGGGGCCTTGGAACCTGCAGCAGCAGGACGGTGCCTAGAGGTAGTGTGTATGAGGCTGTATATGGCACAAAGCGAACTCAGTAGACAAAGGTATGGTGTAATCAGGTAAACAATCAGGAACATAATCAATAAAGGATCAGTGGGATCCCTGGGCTTGCTCGCCAGATGCAAGCAAGTAATACTGAGGTAATGTGGGACCCCTGCAGGATACACTGGGCAATCTG